GGCCTCTGTGTGGCGTGTCAGGGAGCTGGGGGGGGGTCAGGCCCAGGGCTACAGGACTGACCCCAGCACAGTCACTGGGGATCTTGGGCTGAGCCTCTTCCATCGTAACCCATCATGCTGGCTCCCTGGTGGGGGCTGGGCCACTGGTTAGGTGGATGGAGACTTTTCAGGCAAAGCTTGATGCTTGGAGGGTCAAGTGTGCAAGAGCCGGCCCCGCACGGGACCTCAAAGGTGGCTCAGTCCATCCTCCCGATGGAGACCCCGTCCCTCCTGCAGCCCGCCCACGTGGGGCTCAGCCCCTCGGAGAACCAACAGCTAGCTGGCTTTAGAGCTTCTCTTTACTGGGAATACAAGCCGGCCTCCCTGTGACCGCCCGTCAGCTACCTCTGCCATCCAAGAATAAATAACCAGCATGTTGTGTTGAGTGCTAACTGTAGTTACACCGGGCCTTCGCATATTGGTGTTTCTTCAGCAACAACCCTGTGAAGTAGGGTTATCATCCCCATTGTATACATGAGGAGACTGAAGCACAGAGAGGTTAAGCAACTTACCTGAGGTCACACAGCCATAAGCAGCACTGCTTCCATCCTATGGAACACAACAGTCAAGGAGAAGTAAAGGTGGCGGCTGGACTCTTCCTCCAGGCCGAAAGGGGCACAGCCTGGAATCCCCGGAGTCCCTCTGGGCATGCTCTGTTGGCCATGAGGCTCTGAACAGACACAGGCTTCCTGGTATGGGCTGCCTACATCTCGTACCCCCTGTTCTGTTCAACAGAGCGCAGCGATGCATTGGCACCCCCTGGATGGGAGACTTGCATGATTCTTGGGGTGTGTCCTGAACCACAAGCTGCTGTTCCCCAGTCTCCCGCCTTCATTGCTCAGGGCTGTAGAGTTTTATGTCCTGTCTACCTGATGGCTTCAGCAGAACCTGCTGGGCAATGGTCACACATGGTTGCATGGGTTGTGCACTGCCCAAACTCTGTGAGCACTCTTCATAGAGACCATGAGATGAATGAGCCCTGCCCCCAGAGCTGTGATACACCACCCGCCCAGCTGTCTGGACAGCAGATATGTCTTGGGTTCTAATCCGAGCTGGTTGGGATTTTGCCTGCCCTTAAAAGGTGTTTTCCACATAGACTCCATGGTTTCTAGGATCATCTTTCTGTGCCTTCCTGGCCAGGCCCCTTGAGGTCGCCCTAGTGGGGAGCTGGCGGGGCTCCATGTGGCCCAAGCTAGGGCTGGATGGGAACCAGTCCACCCTCACCGTACAGAGGAATGGAGCAGCCCAGGGCTCACCACACCCAGCTGCCAAGTTGGGACTAGTATGCAGGTCTTCACACTTTCCCAGCCTGCTTTATTTTCCTTGTTGTTCCATCCCGTTCCTGAGTACGGGCATCCAGAGGGCACCCCGCTCTCCTCCTCCTCCTCGGGTTTCCTAATAGCACTGAACAGAGGCTGGCTAATTGCTGGGTTTTGGTCCTCTCTCCAGCTCCTCATAGACAATGTACAGAGAGGCCGCAAACGCGGGGGGGCCAAGCATCTGGAGTGTGGCTCTAGCCATGACTCACTAGAAGGTTGGGAGTGGAGACTTCAGTGTCTCCCAGAGGAGGGGTAAGTTAAAGCAGTGCCACACAAAGGGCCAGGAGGGTTTGTCTGATCGGGGCTTCGCTGGCTTGGGGGGAAGTTTGTGGCCATAGTCCACTTTTTTGCTCGTTGGACAATGAATGTTGATTCTATTCCCAGCCTGTGTCAGGTACTAGGTGTATGTACAGAGAATCTATAGTCTTTGCCAATGAGAGCTTATGGTCTGCTGGGGAGAATGAATATTATTAGTAATAGGTTGTGGAAAACACCTAGGACCATCATGCACAGTTGCACAGATTGTGCACTGCTCAACTATAAGGGCATACGTCACATAAACTGTGAGATGAGTGAGTTATGACATACCTGTCCACGGTGGCTTTAATGTCTTTTCGTAGACATAACATAAGGCTGTAGGCTGTCAAGGAGGGCCACACCCCTACGGTGGGAGGTGAGGGAGACGGAGCAGTCGGTGCCAATCTGAAAAGGCTTTACCCCAACGAAGATGCTTAAACTGGGTCTTGGAGAATGAGCAGCAAGTCTCCAGCCAAAGAAGAGGGAAGGGTACACTGGGCAGTGGAAAGACCATTTGCCAACCTTTGGAGGCATGAGACTGGGAGGCAGACCAAGAGTGGGGGAACGAGGCAAGGTAGGAGGCTGGTGTGGTTTCCAAGGCAGGAGTTCACGTGGAGGGGAGTGGTAGGCGGCGGGGAAACTTGAGAGCAACTGGGGGGGGGGCGGGGGTAAGGCAGGTGGGGCTAGCGACATGCAGCCAGGGGCCTGACTCCCCGAGTTTGGCCAGAGCAGCGGTTGCGGCCCCTTCGGTCTGACTCGCCCTCCCGGGGGCCTGCCCACACACCAAGGCGCACATTTCGAGATGGATATCCAGCAGCTGGGCCTCAGGGGCCCTTGACCCCGGGAGACGGGTCACATCAACAACATATTTGTACCCCATTTACACTGAAGCCGAGGCTGCCTTCTGCTGGGGTTTATGCCTTCTGGGACGATTTATATGGTCTATTTCTGGAACATCCCTCACGGCCAAGAGGGCACAGAGGGTAAGTGCCATCTCTGTTTCCCATCACAGATAACTGGGTGGCCATTCCCCACACCAAGCGAGTACCTGTTCGTGGCAATCTCGTGACTGGAGAGGGGTGGGGCTCCCGGGCCTCTTTCTGGGTGCACAGGGGTCCCCAAGAAGGAGCCAGGCCAGACCGGTGATTGCCACTTTCTGAGGTTATAATTTGCTATTGTCCCCGAGCAATTACAGATTTCATTTGTCCGGGCAATATTGCAAGTCGGGTATGGGACAGACAGGGACAGAGATGTGATCTGAAAGCCAGAGAGCTGGAGAGAGATTGAAGAGTGTGTGCTGTTGGTTAAGCAGAATGTCAGTGGGGAGGAGCATGCCACCTCGTTAATGACTCTGGCTCGAGCAATTTCTTTCAAGTCAGGTACATTGATGGGGCGTCTGGGAGGCTCCGTTGGTGAAGCGTCTGCCTTCAGCTCAGCTCATGATCCCAGGGGCCTGGGATCGAGCCCCACATCTGGTTCCCTGCTCAGCAGAAAGCCTGCTTCTCCCCCTCCCCCGCCGCCTTCTCTCTCTGTTGAATAAATAAATAAAATCTTTTTAAAAATTAATTAAAAAATAAAGTCAAGTACATTGGGGGATAATTTACATATAGTAAAATTCACCCCTCTTAAGGTATAATTCTTTGAGTTGTGATAAACATATATGCTCTTATAACCACCACCATAACCAAGGTACCAAGCACTCCTGTCACCCCAGAAAGTTCCCTGATGCCCTTCTAAAGTCAACCCCAACCCAACCCGTAGCAACCATGAATCCCTCCTCTGTCCTTAGAGTCCCAGAATGTCCTAGAAATGGAATCAGGTAATATGTAACCTTTTGAGTCTGGCTTTAACTTTAGCAAAACGCGCTCACGATCCATCTGCCTTATTGCACGAACCAGTAATTCATCCCTTTGGATTGCTGACCAGTATTCCGTGGGGCCGATGGGCCGCCATGTATCCAGTTCTCCAGGTGAAGGGCCAACATTTGGGGTGTTCCCAGTTCGGGGCGATCACAAAGGAAGGCCGTAAACGTTGCATGCTGGTCTTTATGTGGTCCTGGGTGTTCAGTTCTCCCGTGATTACCCAAGAGTGGGGTTGCCGAGCTGTGTGGTCTGCGTATGTTTAACTTTGTAAGAAACTGCCAACCTCCTCCAAATGGCTGGACCATTTTGCATTCCTGTCGATTCCAGTTGCTCTCATTCCTTGTGAATAATTTCAAGAATAAAGCAAATAAGGGAAGGTTGTGTGGCCGGGCAGCTGAGGGGAGATGCACCATCCCCGCCCCCCACCCCATCCCCTGCAACCCTGCATCCCCTCCGAGATTCTTTTCCGTTTGAACCTTTGTAGAAGTGCTGTTTGGGCCCTTGCTGGGGTTGCTTGTTGGACATCTTGCTGTTAGGGCTTCCCGTGATGGATGGGTTTTACACATTGGGCATAGAGCCCAAGCTCAAGAGCCACAGTGACATCAGATAAATGATCCCAGGCCATTTCCTGCACGCGGCTGCTTGTGCATGCCATCTTTCCCTGCAGGGGTTCTGGGGCCGTTCTAGCTGGATGAGGGACAGGGAGACAGGCAGTGAGGGCCGGTGACCCCCCCCCTCACCTGGCCACAGAAAGCCCCGCGTGTCTGCCAGGCACTAAGAACGGACTCGGGGACAAGACATGCAGAGACAGAGTGAGTGCCAGCCCCTGACCTCGGGAAATCAATGGGCTCGTTTGGGGCAGAAATGAGCAACGTACACCCCAGGCTAAGCCAGTATTGATGGGGGGCAATTCAGGGATCCATGACCCCCCCCCAAATGGCACCGACGGTCACACCTCTTTCTCGTGCAAGGAAGAACAGTATCCTAAAGCCTGGGCTGCTGGTTGGGTGACTTGAATTAGGTCTTAAACGACCATGGGAACTCTCAAGTTGGTGAGGAGAGGGGCTGGGACCAGGGGAGGGGGGGCAGGAACAGAGGCCCAGAAGTCGGGACACGGGGAGGGGGCCCACAGAAAAAATACTTTACCTACATTCTCCCTGCCAGAGCCGCCCTTCAGCTGCGGCTTCCCCTGGGAAAAAGTGGGATCGAAGACCCTTAAGCTGTATGGGGGCCTAGAAGCTGGCCAGCTCAGGGGTCCACAAAGATTGGGGGGGTGCAGAGGGGACGACCAGCCTCTCTCAGACCTCCTGAGTTGGAACTGGAGGGCAGCATAGGGGGAGATACGCAGCTTACTGGAGGTCACCCAGCAGCCTGGGGTCAGAGCTCTGGGTAAACCGAGCCACCTGCCGCTGGGTCACAGGGTCCTGCCAGGTCTGAAGTGGGACTAACAGCGATATTCTCTGTCCGTCCATCCACCATCCAGGTGCAAGTTCTTCAGTCTGACTGAGACGCCGGAGGATTACACCATCATTGTTGATGAGGAGGGGTTCCTGGGTAAGTACTTCTGTCACCCGGGCTCGGCTGGACTGTGGCCTGTGGTCAGTGTTGGCTGCCCACCACCTTATTTCCGCCCCCGCCCGCCGCCTTATTCTGCCCACCGCCCGCTGCCTTATTTCTGCCCCCGCCCGCTGCCTTATTTCTGCCTCCCCACCCATTGCCTTACTTTTGCCCCCCTCTCCTTCTGGCGAGTGGGTTAGAAAGTCAGCAGAGTCTGTTTTCTTCTCTCCCTGCGCCCTGCCTCCCCCACGTCCTCTCAGTTTTATTTAGTAAAGTGCATTATGTTGGTCCTGGTCTCACGCAACAGTGAACATTGGTTTGCGCTGACCACTGCACGCTAATTTATGAGGAGGTGGTGTTATGTGCATCACACCGGTGGGGAGCTGCAAGCGGAGGGGAAGTCACATGCCCAGGCTCACAAGCCACCGAGCAGGGCTCCCCCGAGAGCTGGCGTTCCCGCCGAGCCCCTCCGTTCCGTTCTTACAAGCCTACAGAGAGTGCAACAGATTCCACATTTTTATAAAAACCCTCTTCCGCCCCGAAGACAACTCCTGGTCCCTCTTTCGTGTTTCTCTTTCCAGTTTTACTGGGCATGAGTTGTCTCTTTTTCATTTGCGTGCGATCATATTCTGGAGAGAAATGTTTGCACCTGACGTTGTAACGTACAGTTTCCTCTCGCGGTCCACGTCGTGGTGGATGTGGCCTGCCTCCTTGCCCGGTGCCCTACGCTTAGAATCCAAGTGGGGTTTCATGGTTCTCCAGGGATAAATTTATGAACTCCTGAAATGTGTGACCTTTATTCTTACTCCAGGCTGATTCCTAAAATGGGGTCTGAGACCTGGCATTATGGGGTCAGAAGCTGTTTGTGTGGTTCTCAGGGGAAGTTGACGGGGGCCACCGTATTAGGCCATTCTCACTGGTGAGCAAGGGGAGCCCTGGAGGAATTGACTTCACCCCTACGCTCTGTCATCCTTATGCACCCCTGCTCCATCATCAGAGGTGTCCGTCTGGTCATTCATTCATTCATTCATTCAGCAGACACTTTCTGAGCCTAGGAGCCACAAACAGGAACTTTTGCCTTAACCACAAAGTGTGGTCCCAGGAAGAATGTATGCTTGGGCAACCCAGAACCATCTCCGCGGTTGTGTGGGCCCTGCTGAGAAGCATGGTACCTCAGACACAGAAGGAACGCCCCAGAGCGTGTCTGCTCTAGGAGCAGATACCCTGGCAGCTCCGTGTCCCCAGATGAATCGAGGCAGCAAATGAGCGAGCACGGTGAGCAGGGAGGGAGGGAGGCTGTAGCCGCAGGCCCCGGCGAGCCGGTTTTGCAGGCCCTGGAAGCCCACATTTGTAGGAATCATCAAGCCCCTGGGAGGCGTCAGGCAGGTGAACGGCTGCCTGTCCCGAGCCAGCCCCTGGGCTTGCAGGAGGCAGCGCTGACGGAGCCCCTCTGACCCCATGAGCCCCAGAGTCTGCCAGCTACCCACAGTTAGATGTAGAGTTGTGATTGCAGTGGGGGCTTTGCCGGAGACCCCAGAGGAGGGGCCCTTAAAATAGGAGGCAAGACAGCAGAGAGCAGATCCATGAGCACCCTGAATCGACGAATACTGACTTATCTCCCTGCCCCGACGGGGCTTCTAGCTGCAGAGACTATGCTAATAAGCCCTGGGAAAGACTCTTATTAGCCTCATATTATAGACAAGGAAACTGAAGCACAGAAATGGATGTCACCTGCCCGAAGCCTCACGGTTGGTGTCTTCTCTGGATGTTTCCAGGGGCCAGGCCCTAGGTGGGGGAGCGCAGAAGTGCAGGCATCCAGTCTTTGCCCCCAGGGGGCAGCTTACGGCTCTGGGAGGACAGAAACACAGGAGCCAGAATTACAGTAGCAATAGAGAGTGGCACCCCGCCTGGCTGGCAGAAGTGCAGTCCGAGGGGACTGCCCGGAGGAGGCAGTGCTCGAGGCAAACCCAACTAGATGAGTAATGAGCCCACCTCGTGGAACCTGGGAAGTTGGGAGTGGGGAGGCTTCCAGAATGGAGGGTTGCCTGGCACTCCCAGGGAACTGGAGGTGAGAAGACAGAGCAGAAGGAGATGGGGCAAGGGAGGCCAGGAGAGACAGAGGCAAGGGGGAGCCAGTGAAGGGTCTCATCTGATCTTGAAGGGTTTGCCTGGAGGAGAGAGCCGAGTAAGAAGGCTGGCGCAGTGAGGACAGAGCGGGGAATCAAGAAAGATTCCAAATCTGAATTTACCTGGGCCTTTTTCCTGAGCTCCACTGCTGATCAGCAGGGAGCCTCACACTGTATTTGGGCCTGGAAGAACTGGTGAGCCTTCAGCATGTCCCTTTCTGGGGAGCTCAGAAGAGGAGGCTTTGGGGGAGCTTATGTAGTCAGGGAAGGCTTCCTGGAGGAGGCAATTTTTGCTGCCCTTGAAGGGCCAAGGAGGGAGAGAGCATGTCAGGTGGAGGTGTATGAGTAAGCATAGAAGCAGCAGAGACCAGGTCCAAAAAGCATATGGAAATGTAGGTTCAAATGAAAAAGAGGTGAGCAGGGTCAGTTTGGAGCCTGCAGGCAGTAGGGAGCCATTGAAGGTTGCTGAGTGGGAGAGAGTTGTCATTGGGGCTGGACTCAGGAAGAGGCACCCGGGGTGAGTGTGCAGGAGGGGAGAGTGTGAGGTGGGGGCCTCCCGGGGGGTAGGGGAGTGAATAAGCAGGCTTTGTCCAAAGTGAGGTCTTTAGGCCCAGGCTGAGACCCTAACTGGCCCAGGGAGGGAATTACCACAATCCTGAAACCCTGACATTCCCTGGAGCCATTAATAATCGCCTGGACTCTCCCCAAACCTTTTCCGGTGGCCGGAGCAATAATAATGTCTTCAGTCTGGGGAAGGGAGGTCCGGGAAAACAGGTGTAAATTATTCGCCCAGCAGGGGCTGAGAGGAGGGGTCCTTAACCCCATGACTTCTGGGTAGGGGTCTCGCTTCCAGGCCGCGATTCCTGGTCAGCACACCCGGGCTGCTTGAATTATCTATTACTGCCCAAGAAAAACCGTGTACATTTATGGGAGTGTAGCATCTCTCGCACACATGCTGGTCAAAAGGTGGGGGGAGGATGTCGTTGAGAAGCGCCTCCCGGCCTCACCCTGGCCTAGGATGGGAAGACCCAGGTTCGGATCCAGCTCTTGTAGCTTCACGGCTCCCCGGGGCCTCCTCCCCAAACACAACATCACCTGTCCCTTCTGCAAGGTGCCCACGTGGCCATCCGATGCACGTGCACTCGATCGGCGTCATTCTGTCCTAGATGAGCCGTGGTTCCTCTGCCCGGCCGCGCTGTTGGATTTTCGGGGGCACCCAGGTGTTCGTTTGAAATCCCTCTGGGTCGCACACTTGCCCGTGAGTCTGTCTCTGCCCCACGTGTTAACGACTGCTTTGCAGCGAAATTGCGCATTTATATAACTCTTGATGCGTGTTGCCCAACTGCCATCGAGAAACCAGCAAAACTCCGCTAGCAGTGTACTAACAGAAAAGGCTCTGGCATTTGGTGAGTACTTGGACGCCAGGCACTTAGCTAAGCGCTTGATGGGGATTATCTCATTTAATCCTTCGAAGCATCTTCTGGAGCTGATCCTGATTTCATCATTCTGCATTTGCAACTAAGAAACGGAGGGGCGTTGCCTTTGCCCACAGTCATCGAGGCAGGATTAAACCCGCCCACCTGACCCCAGGACTCTTGACCCTGCTGCGGGCCGGGCAGGAGAAGCCTGAGAAGCACAGGCTGGGTGGGGAGCATGCAGCTGTGTAGCGCGGGGACCCGCGGGTCCTGCAGCCGGAACAGGGGAGGCCTGGGGAGGGGGGTTGGGTACAGTGAGGAGGGCAGTGCGGGGGGACGCGGGGGTTCCACCTAGCCACAGAGCCGCCCCAGTCGGTGGCTGAGGGTGACAAGACGCCGTTAACCTCCACTACCACAGAGCATATGCAGCTTCGACAGGCTATTTTTAGAGGCTTGTACTATGTGCGGTGACAGAAATAATCCATTTTAGTTTTGGAATGGGTCCACTTTTCCTCTAGGGAGGGGCAGGCTCGCTGCCTCCTGGTCAGCCTCCTGGCAGCTCATCCCCACGGCCCCAGAGTGGCACCTCAGGCACCCCGAGGCTTGGTCCGGGGTGAGGATGGGCCCCAGGCAGGCCTTCCGCTCCCCGCACCCCTCCACCCCAGTATTTGAGGTCCCAGGGGCCAGAAGCAGCAAACACTGTGGTTTCCAGCTAGTTTTGCTCTTCTGACAAAGCTCGCACTTCTGGAAGTATCAGAGGGGGTGACCGCTGGTCCAAAGCTGCCCACCGTCAGTGGGTTCTCTCCAGGGCCGAGAGTCAGGAGCGGCAGGCCCTGAGGCCTGGAGCAGGGCAGACAGACCCATCCCGGCCGACCCGCTGCCCAGACTGCCCAATAGTTGGACTGACCTGAAATCCTCTGTCCCCCCCCAACCCCCACCATCCCATGTCCCCATTTTCAGCTGGCTTCAGGCCTGGGCTTCTCCCTGGGACTCATCCAAACCTGCCGAGAGACTCCCCAGAGCAGAGCCTTGGCTACACCAGCACCCCTTAAAAACACACACACCCCAGCACTTCACTGACTCGGAGGGGACGCGCCTTCCCCACTGTATCTGCCACGGCTTCCCAGCAGCCTGGACCGGGGCTGGGAATGGCACCTGCTCCCCCTGGGGCCCCTTGGCCCGACCCTGGGAAGTTGGGTATGGGAGCAGGGGATGGTGGTGAAGGCCACCCCCCACCTCGGGTCTGGCAGGGCGACTGAGCTGGACGGAAGGCGGTGAGCCGGGAAGGTAGATGAGTGGGATCGTGGGCTGGACCGAGCAGAGAGGCAGGGCGAGCTGCCCCCGTCCCTCATCCTTGTCTCGCACCCCTGTGCGCCACGTGCTGAACGTGGCTGAGGACAAAGCAGACAAGGCCACCACCCCCCACGGTAGCCGCTCACTGCGCGCACAGCCATCAGAAGTGAAATGAATCAAAATGAAATAAAATGTACCATCTTCTTTCTTCTGTCGCATTAGCCACGTTTCTTCTGTCCGCTCTGAAGCCACGTGCGAGCGGCTACCATTTTGGGCAGCTCAGGTGTAGACCCCTCCCCATCGCTGCACAGAGCTCTCTTGGGAAAAGGACCTTGGCTTTTTTTTTTTTTTTTTTTAAAGGTTTTATTTATTTGAGAGAGAGAGAATGAGAGAGAACACATGAGAGGGGATAGGGTCAGAGGGCAAAGCAGACTCCCTGCCCAGCAGGGAGCCCGATGCGGGACTCGATCCAGGGACTCCAGGATCATGACCTGAGCCGAAGGCAGTCGCTTAACCAACT